CTACTGTAATCCCCAGAAGATAGTTTTGCAGAGTATCATAGTCCAGGGTCCAGTTCTTCTTCATTATCTAAAACCATTTTTTTTTTTCTGGCTTGTGGTAAGACAGATGAAAGTTAATCCATGAACCTCCTGGCAACTGTTAGAAGGCAGACTACTTTTTCTTCTCTCAAAAAATCTTTAAGATTTTCTTTTTTTCCAGGTTTTCTCAAAATCATGATGCTTCTATTACAATTTTTTTTTCTTTATGCTCACCATGCTTGAGGCTCACTATACCCCTGAACGGTGGGTTAATGCTTTTGTCAGATTGGAGCAATTCGCAACCTTGTGTGTTCAAGTCGGTCTTGCCTTCTCCCCCTTCTTTCTTTACGTACGGTGCGTCTTGTTTATGTAGCGCCCAGATCTGTGTTAGTTATACTTCCCGTGTGCTCCTCTCTCAGGGGGCAGCTTTTAAACTGTCTGTCGGACCAAACCTTTTCTTTTTTCACTGTGGTCGGTCTTCTAATTAGAATAGCTGCTCCCGTCTTGATTTCAGAAATCACACTTTTCACCTCTAGACTCGACGTGGTTCTTACCCAAATACAGCACGTCACTTTAAAAATGTATAGGTTATGAATTTCATGCATGGACATGACGTATCTGAATCATATTCACATACCCCACTTTCCTGCTCAACTCCTCACAGATCCGCCTCTGCCACATCTCCCCCTTTTCCTATGGAAAGCCCCTCCTCCTCCTTCCCATTGCGTCCAATTTGCCCTGCCCAAGTACTTGGCTGTGGCACCATCTGGAGCCTGGTAGGCCTACCAGGAACCACATTCTGAAGGAAAACTAGTGTTTCCCCATCAGCTAGCGGAGGGTGCTCATGAGCCTCTCTCCTCCCACTTTTATGATATAAAATTATTCTCTAGTTTCCAGTTTCTATAATATACTTATTTCCAGCATGTGAAATCTAAGCCTGTTTCTTCTGTTTTTGTGGCTCTCAGTCAAGTTGCTTTTGATCTCGAGATCCTAAATTTCATGGCAAGGTCATTCGCTGAATAATGACTTCTGGGTTTCCCGAGGCTTGTGTAAGGCTGTCCTTCTAATTCTCCGAGAGCCCATCTCCACATCAGCCTGGATTTTCCTCTACTGTCCTTGAACATCTCCCATGTTTCAAAAATGACCCATGCCTGTGCTTTCACTGTCTTGATAGAAGGCTCCGCTGCAGGACCCATGTTCTACCACAGGAGGCTAAGGACAGAGCAGGTGCGTGGAATCCAACTTAAAATTATAAACAGAGATGCAGGGAGAGATAGCTGTGGAAGCTGGAACCCAGTACAAGCAAAACAGGAAAATTTGATAGAAAAATACACAGCAAGGAAAAAGAAATAAAAGTTCTCTGACATCTTTAACATTCCCGGAGAGGCATTATTATTGAGCTTGGAAGAGAAGGACGGATTTCCTGGAAAGTATAACACCATAAGTGTTTTTTGTTTTTTTTTTTCCTTTCCTTTTATCCTTTAGTGATGAGTACAAGAATTGTAAATTCACAGTGAGAGCAGTGGAACTAAAAGTGTCTGATAAAATGTGTCAATAAAATGGAGACAATTTATTATCAAGTTAAGTAAAAGATACAGACCTGAAGAATACCAGGGAGCTAAAGCCCCACAATCGTTTCCTCGGAGAATAGTCACAGGAGTGCAGGCTGACTTATGGTCTTTATTCTACATTTACTTTAAAAGAAGAAATTAATTTAAAAACTATTTTTTATGTGTAAGCATTTACCTGCCTGGGTATCTGTGTACCACATGTGTGCTTGGTACCCTTGAAGGTCAGAAGAGGGTCATACCTCCTGGAACTGGAGTTCTAGATGGTTGTGAGCCGCCATCGTAAGTGCTGGGAATTGAACTCGGGTCCTCGGAAAGAGCAGCCGTCTCTCCAGTTCCAACAGTTACTATTTAGAATTTGTTTTCAATTAGCATGCGAAGTAGCAGGCTTCACTGTGGTATTCTTATATGTACTTAGGTTTGAACATGTGTGGGCGGGCCCTCTTTTGACTCCTCTCTCCCTTTCATGTTCATGTCATACATACGTGATTACCTTCTCCCTAAATCCCCTCAAGCCTCCGTTTCCCCTCATGATCTCCCTTCTAGAGTCAGATCCTACAGTGACATTCTTACACACATGCATAGACAGACAGACAGACAGACACAGACAGACACACACACACACACACACACACACACACACACACACGACCTGACAAAGGCTGTGGTCTGAGGCTGGAAAGCAGACCAGCTATTGTGGCAGGTTAGGGTTCATTCGGACTCCAGGAAGATAGGGATTTGTAGCTCAAGCCAGGAAGACAAGATCCGGGGTAGCAATGGGGAGCCACTCTCAGATTCTGAGCAGAGGCGTTTCAAGAGGGCGTGACGAAGCAAGCACCCAGGAGGCACCTCTGCAGCTCTGAGGGAGGAGGAAGGGGAGGACAGCAGGAGAGAGGAACGAGACATCTTCCCAGCCGCTGAGGGACGATGCTGGAGCCTGGGAATTTCTGGGAGTGCAAAGTGGCTCCCACTGCTTTGGGTTAATGGTGAACTCGCTGCGAGAATCATCCTGATGTTTACAAAGCCCAAAATGTCAGAGAGGTGTCCTGATTCGCAGGGTGTAGCTTGTTCTCCCACCAGCTTGATCTCTCATAGACCTCAGAGGAAAGAGGAGTCCGATGTCACCCGGAAGCTTCCTTCAGTGGTTACATGCCCTGAAGATTTCACGGTGTTTCATTGACAATGTCCAGAACCCTCTCCCTGCAGGACCCTGGTGGGGACTGTGGGCACATCTTCTCTTGACTGGACTGGGAGGGAATTCTCAAGGCATCTGGCTCCCGCACGGAATTTCCCTCCCTCCCTGCAGCTGGTCTAACTGGAGGCCTGTGGTTTGCCGCCGTCTGCCTCCTGCTTAGAGGAAGTGAGGACTCGGTAGCCACCATGAGTGGATTCCCAAGCAGCTAGCTTCCTCCCCACACTCTTGGCATTCATGTGGCACGGTTATAAATTATGCCCGGCGTGTTCATTTTCAGTCTGAATGTGTTCTCATCCCAGAGGAGCGACTAATGGCGTCAAGTTACTGATGTGAAAAAAGCCTGCTGCTACAATGACTGTGGATTAATGAAACAGCCTCATGGAGGCTGGGGCTGCAATCAATCCTCAGCCACTAGTGATACGGATTTTAAATTGTGTTCTCTGACCGTTTCCCTCTTCGCCAAAATTATTTTGCTGTAATTTTATTGGGTAAATGTTTGTCATTGCTTAAATGTTTGCTTTTTATTAAAACTGGGTGCACAGAGGGTACCTGCACCCTTGCACACGGCAGACTGGAAGAGAGAGATTTCAAAGCCCATCGGATTTTCTCTAGGAGGCGTGAAGACAAATCTCTTAATCCAGGATCATCAGTGACTGATAAATTTCATTCAGAAAGCTGGTGAGCACGGCATCCTCTCCATGAACTCTGCCCATGCACCATGCAAGTTACTCCCCCAACTTTCTCTTGGGGCCTTGTACCTCCCTAGTGAATCAAAGGGGGGAAAAACAACAACCAACCAAACAATTATTTCTCTTTACTTTCTTTCTTTCTCTCTTTTTCTTTCTTTTTTTCCAAAATGCAGGAAGTTAATTTTTTTTATTTGATGAGTATCCCAGAGAGTCCGCTGATGGGCTTTGTTCTCAAGATCTAGATTCTAATAGTCAGTTATGGTGGTCTGCTTCTGGAAGTACAGAGTGTAGATTTCACCGTATTCACTAAGTCCACTAATAACATGAGATAGTTTCAGGGCTGTTACGGTGAATGGCATGGATGGGAACACCCCCTGCCATGGCTATGCCTCTGCAGTGGGCCTGTAGCTGTTTCTGCAGAGACATATACCCATGCCCTGATTTGAGGTTGGCACAGGCCTACGGGACTGTGATGAAAGCAGGCTTGAAAAGCACTGGTCTTTTGATTCACTGATCTTGGAACTCTCCTGGCATGTGGACACAGCTGGTTAGCTAACCTAAGGGGCTGTAGCATCTAGCCACTCCAATTCTCCAAGTGACCTACCAACGGCATCAATGAGCCATGACCCTGGGACAAACCAGAAACATCCAGCTCAAATTGCTGGCCTACAGCAGAGTGAGCTCAAAAGAGTTATGTTGAGCCTCTGCGTTCTGGGCTTGTTTGTTATCTAGGAGAAGCTAACTGATACGGTTTACATTTTGAGATCATGCACATTTTATTTGGCCTTTGTGTTCACGTTTCCTGAAAACATCAGAATCATTTAGTGCATATTTGTTGAATTGGGTAGAACTGGCCTTTCCAAAGGGCCGAGGTCAAGGTCCTCTCAGAACTACTTAGCAAATTGGGGTGGGGAATTACAGTCATCTGACTTCAGACTTGTTTTTTCACTTGTGAAACAGTCTTCAGATCCCCATCTTGTATGCTACTGTGGTTAGCAGAGACAAGGCGTGCCGTGGGGATGTGCTGGCCGCCTGACAGCTGGGGCATGAGCAGAAACACCCTTAGGAAAAGGCCTTGGTCCTGCACACTTGCCCGTGTCCATGGCCTCAGATGTTTGGCAGGTGGCTCCCCGCTTCCTTTGGTCATCTTTCTCTGCTACAAAGTAAGGTCTATTCCTTCAGGCTCAGGCAACCGGGTGTCATTCTGACAGTGTCTGCCTCCCTCCCTCCAAGGGTCGCTACTCTGGGCTCTGTCTTGACACCCTACTTCTGTACCCTATAACAGGAGGAGTGGAGGGAGGCTACTATCCAAGGACCATTCCATCTGCAGCAGCCCACGGCCTGCTTTACTCTCAGAATCTCACTGAAACGTGAAGGACCACACTGTTCCAGGGCCAGTGAGCCATATGAGGCTCAACTTTTTTGGACGATGATAATATTTTTGTTATTCATCTAAAGCAGAAAGACAGAGAAGCAGGCCAAAGGCTTGGGGAATAGAAAAGACAACAAAAGCAGAGAAGGCCAGTCTAATTTGAATGGGAATGAAAACACGCTTTACTACAGGGCGGTAGAGCTCTCTGCTCTGCCCAGCAACACACTGAGCCACAAATTCAAGCAATTACAGAAGAAATATGTTTAAGAAAATATTAACACACACAAAGAACTATAAAATACAAGAACGATTTACACAAAGAGCTGAGTTCAGTATCTTTTTCTTTTTATGTGAGACTTATCATTTACCAGTAATGTCTGAGATGGCCTAGTCCTAGGATTTAGGATAATGATTCCTGTGTTGGGAGGGATTCAGAGAGTAATAACATATGTAGTTATTTATCACAGAGGAGTAAAGACAACATCTCAACATTCTGCTCCTTCACCAAAGACTCAGAACAGACCAAATATTCGTGAGCAGAAAGGGTGAGGGCAGAGGCATCACGGTACCTCATTTTGAGACATACTACAGAGCCATGATGGCAGAAGCAGCATGGTCATAGAGTAACAACAGACACATGGAGCAGTGGGTCAGAACAGAGAGCCCAGAAGTGAGCTCGAACACTGAGCCAGATAATTCTCGACAAAGGTGTCCAAACCTTGCAGGGTGTGTAGCTGGTCTTTTTAATGTGTGCAGGGAAAGCAGGCAAGAGATGAAAATGGAACTGTTGTTTAAATGACTGTAAAAGCAAAGGGAGCAAAACCAAAGACAGGGAAACAATGACACTGAAGTTCTGCCCAGCATGCAAAACAACAGAGGAAAAGACAATCTACAGAACTGAGAGAATTGTTTGCCAGCCATCTTCCCAGTTCATATCCATAACACATAGTGTATTTATCCTGTGAGGAATTAAAAAACAAGATTCCGATTACAAAATGAGCAGCTGCTCGGAACAGTCACAAGTGCATGAGGCACAATCAAAACCATCAGTCGCCAGGGAAACGGAGACAGTGAAACATCATGTACACCAGTTAAAATGTGGTTAAAGCCAATAGCAAAGCCAGCAAAACCCGGTATGTGACAAGTGCTGGCATGAACATGGAGAACAGGAACTCTCATACCCTGCTGTTGGGTCCCTAAACCAGAGCAACAGTATGGAGGCTCATCTAAGAAGTGAAAGTAGGACTACCATGGGATCTACCTATCCCACCTCTAGGTATACATCAAAAGGAAATCAAACCTGTAAACCCCAAACACGCCTGCCTGTCCGTGCCGACTGTGAGGCCACTCATAATGGCGGATGCTATGATTAGCTTACGTCCTCACCAACAGGCACAAAGTGCCTGTAAGTAGCGGAATATTACTCAGCCTTAAAGAAGAGTGAAACCATGTCATCTGCAGCAGGACAGACAGAACTGGGGGAAATGGTATGAGGGGAAATAAGCCAGGGACAGAGACAAGTACCACACTTTCTCCCTTGTGTGTATAGGCTGGGGTGGGTGAGTATGAGAAATGGGGAGTCATGGGGGCAGAAAAATAAAGGGAGGCCAGATCTGCTCTTTGATAGCTGCATGTTGTACACGAGTATTCAAATATTGAAATATCACAGTGAACCACTTTAGTAAGCACAATTAATACATAGCAATAAAAATAAAAGAGCAACTAAAAATCTGCTTCTTGATAAGATGGACACACACTTGTGTTCAGAGTACATGTGAAAATGATTACCTTTATCCAATCACCTCTATATACATCCAAAGAGGAAGTTTTAACTTATTCCACCTTATTTTTGTTCCGTTTTGGTTTCGACACAGGGTCTCTCTACAGAGGCCATGGCTGTCCTGGACTTCCCTACGTAGACCTTACTGGCCTTCAACTCACAGAGACCCACCTGCCTCTGCCTCTTGAGAGCTGCCTGTTGTTTTATTTCCAATGCTGAGATCTTAAACACGAAAATCACCCGTGAGGAGGTGAAGCCAAGTTGCCAGATGGCATTCTCGACTCCTCTTCTGTATTTATGATCACGGTTCTGCTCTACCACAAATGAGTGTTCTCACGACACACCACAGAAACACATATACCCACAGAAACACAATGGTGCTCTCTACAGGAGGCTCACACAGCAGACGTCACAGGGTGTGCGACCTCGGTAAGGCGTTCGATGAAGGGCGCGCCACCTCCCCTGTCCCCCCCAGCTGTCCTTAGGAGGCTCTTATGTTGGCATCACACTCTTCCATGAGAAGAATCAGGTCCTCGATCAGGCTGTGCTCTCGGCCGTGGGTCACTTTCATAATGTCGAAGGCCTAAGGAGAGAGGAGAGGTGGCAGATTAACACCTCAGAAGGGACAGGCCCCTGCCTGGAGTTTCCCCGTTTCCCCGAGGCCCACAGCTGAGCAACTGGTCTTTAAGGAGATGGCAGCTCTGTGGTTCACAAAACCAGACTACAGGTGGCATGGGTGCTGCCGGGAAGTCTGAAAGCTGGACTGTACCGGTGGCAACCTGGGCTGACACCATCTTCAGTGGCTATACCGGTGAACAGGGTTGGGCTGCTAGGGTCGGGACCTGGTAAGGCCCATTAAGACCACTATACTGCACAAAAGAAGAAATGGTATCCTCCCCACAGCAGTTTCTAAAACTATTGATTTTGTGTTGGGGGGTGGAGGGCTCTGTGTGTGCCATGGTGTGCTTGTAGGGAGGGGCTCAAAGGACATGAAGGAGCTGGTTCTCTCCTACCCACGGGGTCCAGGGATAGAACTCAGGCTGCCAGGTTTGGTGGCAAGCCATCTTTCTGCCTCATGATAAATTTTTATTGTTTTGTATTTTATTCTCACCTACGAGTTCTTAATCACTATGTATAGGGCACGCATATTCTACGTTGTCTTTGTGACAGATGCCGGTACAGGGGTGGCATTTTGATGATCCCTTCCTTCAGCTTCCATGTTCAGTCTGTTACTAAATTTTGAAATTCAACCTCTGGAGTACTTTGAAACTTGGGCTGAGCTGGTGGGAGAGGACAGCAGAAATAAAGTTAGCAACCTAAAAGCCAGAAGTCTCTGCCTCGGTCACTAGCGTTTGCTCCTGGGACAGCACCTTCCAAGCTGTGAGGAGGCCAAGCCATGTGCAGAAGGCCCATGTGAGAGGCTCTGGATGACTAACTCTGCTAAGCCAAGACACCGGATACCCAGCGAGGCTTCAGATGACCCGGGTGTCCAGGCCGCAGCCAGCCAGGCGCTGTGGAAAAGCTGGACACTGCTCCCGCCGAGCTCAGTTCTAATTCCTGACACAGAACGCTGAATGCAATCTTACTGTTCTCCGCTCTGCCGAGTCTGTGGATGGTTGGCTGCGGAGCAGTGAACAGCCCCAACGGCAGCATCACATACGTGGGCGACAGGGTGGGAACAGGGAGGGAATCCAGAGCTACTGTATCCGGTGTGTCTGTGCCCCAGAGACCCCTCAAGACGTGGCGATGGTGGCTGTGAAGCACCAGGACAGCCTAACCCTCCAACCCGTACCCCACTGAGAACAGGTGCAGTAACTCCTACAATCACACCCACTCCTAAAGTCCGAGTGATGACCCCTTTTTGGTGTGAGCAACTCCACCATGTTTACAGACACTGTTTCAGAAACTGCTCTTGAAAATTTAGGTCACTGCCAGCTGGTTTTGCCTATGATACTACCCAGATCTTCTAGTCTACGGGTTCCTTTACGCTGTTATTATTAGTGTAATTAGTGTGTGTTTCTTCTGCTGTTTTCTTTGCTAAGTATTTGCTGAGATAAATCCTCACGAGTGCAATCCTTGGGTTCAAACACCTTAAAGCTATATAGATTTTGGAGCTGGACAGTGCTGAGTGGGCCTCACAGTGCGAACCCCTCAGTCCTGTCTACGTTCATCAAGCCGCACACCCTCACCTCTACAGAAGGGCCGACTGAAGGCAGGGCAAACAGAGCATTTAGACCAATGGCTGCTGGCAGCCTGTGCTCCTGGCTTCTTCTCTTGTTTCTGTAAAGGTGTTCCCTCTAGACTTAAGGAACAGAAAACAAGCAGACTTTCCCTGTCTGTCTGTCTTTCTGTTTCTCCCTCAAAACTGAAAGAAAGCTGTGACAGCTCTGGCAGCCAGGCCCATAGGAGGGGCCAGGGCAGACACAGGGAACTTGTCTGTCCTGCTGCAGTTAGCAGTTACCACACATATCCTGAGGCAGGGCTTGCTAGAGTGGAGGGGAGAGCCGGAGCTGCCCCACCCTGCAGGCAGCCAAGGTCGCCCTGGCCCCTCTGGCTGTGCTGGACCTGCCGGAGACCTGTATGATGGTGTCATTACAGAGGCTTCTGGGTCAGAAGAGATCCTTCATGGCAAATTCTCCCACTTGAAAGCTGCCGTGGCTGTCGGGTCCGCCTCTACAGACCTCAGGCTGGCGAGGCTTTGCAGAGGAGAAGGGAAGGTTCTCTGGGACCTGGCCCTGCAACCACCCTGAGAAATGGCTCAGCTGGCACAGTGCCCTCTGCTGGCGTGCTCTCACAGCTCCTAGGCAGACTGGAAGCTTTGCCCCCGCGGGGGGGGGGGGGGTGTCCGCACCTTCTCCACCCCGAGGAGGACCTGGGCCTGCCTGTGACTTGACTGACAACCAAAGGACAACTCCATCTGCTTGTCGCCCTGACAGTGGAAGGCTGATGTGTGTTTTCACAAGCACCTTTCTTGTTCCAGTCTTTCTCAGTATCCCTCTGCAGTTCCAGTCCTAACCAGAATTTTCCTGTGTATTCAAGGGGGAGAGCTGCCATCTGATAGCAGGGCAGGTGGCCAAACTCCACTGGAGACATGGGGCCTATGGCCACACCGGGGCTGCGGGACCCAGCAACAGGGCTGCCGCCACCACCTGGCCTCGTGGCCACAGTGCCAAGATGGCTTTCTGTAGGCAGGGCAAAATGTCCAGCCAGACATCCTCCCTGATCAGAAGAAACTGGCCTAAGAGGAGGCAGAGTGGAATGCCCAGCTCTCTGGCCTCACCCCAGTGTCCACTCGGCCTGTCCTGTGTAACCTCTAGCTGTGGACACTGTAGTGACGATGGAGAAGAGGAGAGTCTCCTGGACACAGCTTTAGACAGCCTGAGGACCCTGGGGGAAGGGGTCAAATGATGGTTGTATGCTGTGTCCTCACATTTGCTGGTGAGCTCAACATGAGGGTCATGTGGGGGCAGGGCACGAGTGTTCTGGAATCCCGTGCACCCCGGTGGCTAGAAGCAGAGGACAAGAGTATAAGGAGGGGACAGTCTAAGGTGAAACGAGTAGCGGCGGGGGTAAGGGTGAGAAAGAACCAGAGTATATCACACATGTGGAAACCAGAGCTTAGATAGAATGAATAAACATGCTTTTCCCTGGGTGGTGGTCATATATGGAAGAGTGATGGGCAGAAAGGAGAAAGAACGTCTGCCAGCAACTTCCATGTATTTGTGGGTGTCAATGATGGGACATGGCCAGGCAGACCTGAAGATGGAGGACATCTGGTGCTTGTCTTGGATGCCACTTGTGTCTTCCATGGTCCTGAGGAAAATACCTGCCCGGGATGGCAGAAAGCCCTCAGTGGGCTTAGGACACCCCTTCCGCTCAGCTGCAGGGCGAAGGACGCTTCCTCTCACCTCACCCCCCAATCCACCGTACAAAACCAACAAACAAAAACCCCCAAAGCTTCAGTAAATAAATCTTGGCCGAGCCAGAGAAGCTGTTGCCAGGAGCTCGGAGTCTCCCCGCCCTCAGCTACATGCGTGCGGGGGGGGGGGGGGGGGGGGGAACAATTCCAGTTTAATTTCCTGTAGTGGCGTATAAAACAGATTAGGGAAAATATAAAACTGAAGCAGGCTTGGTTTGGGGAAAGCTTCTCTCTATTAAATTTTATTTTATTATTTTTTTTAATGCTCTCACTTGAAAGGAGCCTGCGTACAATCTTGAATGGAGGAGGGCTCGTTTGAAGCCTCCGGTGGGATGCGCGGCACCCACCTACAGATTCTAAATGTCACACCGGAAATGGTAATGCGGATTGTTTGCCACACGAGAGGCAAGGGCTCTCCGAGAAATAAAGAAAAGGCCCCCAGAACTGATTTCCATCTCATCGTATCTTTTTTTTAAAAAGTAATTTTAGAATTGTGGCCATGTGTTAAATAAAATGAATGAGATCAAATCATGATTTAAAGTTGGAAATAATATGGCTTTCTCATTAATGTTTAATATAAATATATTACATTTATCAAGGATCTCATATGCTTTCTACTGTGAGCCTGGGGAATGCAATGAATGACTTCCCTGAACACGATTTAAATATGGATAGAAAAATCAGAAGGAAAAGAAACACATGCAAGATGAGAGCTTCCAGATCAGGTCACTACAGGGGACAGTGCAGCGACTTTTCCTCATCTGTCCATTCCAAGATGAAAGCAGTGTGTCACCACAGGAGGTGGTCTGGGCATTCAGGAGGGTACATGGAGCTGTGCCCCAGGGCCACTGAACCTCTTTGCAATAGGCAACAGGAAACCCCAAAGCTTCCCTGCAGACCCCACGCCACTCCCTCGGAGGGTCAGGTCTCAGGGGTATGTGCTCAGGGTGGGGGTGGGGCAGACTCTCCCTGGAGAGAGCAACTGTCTACCCATTTACCCTGTACCTTCCCAGCAGCTCCAGCAAGTCAGGGAGGGCCCTTGCTGTGAGCGGGGCTCTGTCTCTGCTGGACAGTCGTGTCCGTGAGATCATCACAGGGAAAGCAGAGTGCTGGATGCCCACACGGAGGGTTACAGATGTGGTGAGTTCAGGGCTGTCAGCGGCGGAAACCATGCCAGAAAGAGCTGCTGTTGTTGGGGCTGGAAGTGGTGGCTCAGGGGTTAACGACGCTGGGCCGCTACTCTAACAGAGAACCCGGGGTCAGTTCCCAGCCCCCATAAATAGCTCACAACTACCTGCAACTCCAGTTTCATGCTTTTTTCTGGCCTTCATGGGCACTACATGCCTTCAGGCAAAACACACACACACACACACACACACACACACACACACACGAGTTGTTATTGCTAAGATCTTTAATATAGTACTATAATCATGTTTTTAAGAATTTATTTTCATTTTCTGTGTTCCGTGTTTAGCCTGCACACAGGCATGTCACTGCATGCTTGTTTAGTCTCCTTAGAGGCGAGGAGAGGGCAATGGACCCCCGGCGCTGGAGTTGCAGATGGTGTAAGGCACCATGTGGGCGCTGGGAAATGGACCGGGGTCCTCTCGGGAGCAGTAAATGTTCCTGACTGCTGAGCCATCTCTGCAGAACCAACCCAG